CACACACACACACACACACACACACACACACACACACACACACACACACACACACACACGAGCAAAAACTGTTGCCTTTGCCTTTGGCAGTGGGTGATAAGAAGCTGTTGAGTGTGATGCAAATAAGCCAGATTCCCTAAAGAAATAAAGCACTCGATACTTGATTAACCAAGCTTTTTATGAACCAACATTTTTTACATTTTTAAAAAAACAAAACAAAACAACCTGTGTGTCTTTAAAATCCCAAGAACTGTATGTTAAGAAAACATGCAGAAACACAGTGATGCAATGGTCTGATGTGCCTGTAAAACCATTCAAATCTCTTGAACAGAAATCACAAGTCAGTCTCTTTATAATCTCATTGTGACGTCTCGCAGAGAAACTAAACTGTCTTCAGATCAGTTCTTTAAAAAATTAAAAACACATTAAACRCCTCTAGATACAACCCCAGCATGTAACACGAGTGTGTTTGTGAAACAAGATCCCACTAATGGATTCGCAGTCTGGGAGTCCTGGAGGACGTTTCCCCTTGACTTCCAGACAGGATGACTGTTTGACAGTCTTGAAATGAAACCAGGCACCACTGATCGCTCACTCTCACACCAATCAATGTAAACTGATTTGACTGAATGGATTTTAGCAGCATGAGCTGCACGAATCCAGAAGCACATCCCCTCAGCGTCTTAAGCGCTTGTGTTGAAATGCTCTCGCGGAAAGCACCGTTTCTGCACTGTCATCGGCGCTAATGGCTGCCGTTAGCAAAAAGATCACGGACAAACTCATTTGCGAAATGGAACGGACATCATGGCAATCCATTAGAAACATTGCAGCTTCGCTCAACTTCGCTTCTTATAATACGGGGAGCAGAATAATAATTTTCCATTTTGTACAACTATTGCTTTAATTATTAAACTTATGTTTACTCCTTTTCTTTTGCTTCTTGTGAAAACTGGAAAACTTTGATCTCTAAAAAAGAAATGATTAATGTTTTGTTTAAATACCTAAAACAGCCTCTAGAGGGAAGCACCACATGTGGCCCATCTCATATCCACTACAGGCCACTGCACAGGAGCATCTGGTCAACTGCAGGTCTGGTCAATGCATATTTTGAAAGCTAAAATCAGAGCAACACACACACACACACACACTGACTGAGATGGGAGATCTGGGCCCATGTCTGTCTCGTCGGAGTTCACTGTCTTGTTTGATGTTTGTTCATGTCACACATTCCTCTGAGGCTCAGTGCCAAGGCAGGGTCAGAAAGGGAAAAGCTMAAAGAAAGCAGCGACAGATGTCAGATGTTCTGTAGTTCTGCTGTCAGATACTTGTTGCATTTTATGCCCACAGACTCAAAAACTTTTTCCAGAACACAGTCTAAACCCAAATAAAAGGCTTATACTTGTGATTACATGGGGCTAGTATCACAGTATGATAACCTTGAGAAAAAAAATTCATGGTGTTAATTAAAAAAATAATGAAATGCACCTCAAGATTTGCTTTTATTTAAAAGCAAATAAGCATTTACGAATATAGAACCTCCTTGGTCAGAACCTCCAATTTTGGAACCATTTTGGTCCATAGAACCCATAACACATCAGAAACGTGCCTGAAGACTGAAATGGTGGAAATAATCCTTGATTGAAAGTAGTCAGCATTAAATTTGCTTGTTGAGTTTTACTGTTTTTTTGCTCCAAAGTAAAAAAAAATACACCAAAATGTTTGTTTGGCAAACGTTTAATATTTGAGTTGACTCAACAGACACTCAATCAGCTCTCTGTTGTAATTTCCACTTTGGCTCTCTTGTGTTTTTCTTTTCTTTTAAAGTGGCTTTATATCTCAGCACTTTGCTCCTCAGCGAATGGACACAAAGCTCTCTCGGGGGAGTGCGCTCGTAAACCCGTCACACCCGTGTCTAAATCAGCAAACTGGCCCTCTGTTCCTGTCTCCTTTCCTTCTAACTTTTCCCCCTCCCTCTCACTTCCTCTCCTCTGCTTTATTCTCCAGTAGAAGCAGCTGACAAAACCCTTGGCAAAAAAAAGAAGAAGCTCTTTCTCTATTTGTTTCTTACCTTCCAGCAGGTCTCTGGCCAGACCCGGTTCTGCCCCCGTGGACCGAACAAAGTCTGACAGGACCGCGTCCATGTCCAGAGTCATGTGATCATGAGTGTGCGCTGCCCACGGTGCAGCGGTGGCCTTGGTGGACGCCAGCCTTCACGTTCTCATCTGATACGAAAACAAAGAAAAAAAGACTTAAAACATCGAATGCACTATTTTACTGTAAACTTGTTCAGCCACACCTTTAAAAGTCTCACCCCGGACCAAGCCCTGTGAGAAAACACCACYGGCTGAGAGGCCCTGTCTCTCATTTCAGTCCCTGTCTGTAGCTGTTTGTGTCGATACACTAAGGCCATGATTCTGTGAGGAGCGCCACATTCTCAGCACTCCTCCCAGACTCTGAAAACAGTAGCAACATCATTCCCAGCATCATGGAGGAAATAACAACAACACAGCCGGCGGCCTTCACCCAGACACACCTGACTGTTTTCAAAACCTTTGACCCGCAGCGCACGATCGTAACATTTAGATTTTTCTTCCAACAAGGTGTCAACCACAGGTGTCAGGGTGTGATTCAGAAGCTAAAACTTGATTTGGTGACTGCTTTTCAGAGCCGTCCGATGTGAAGTCAGTCGGTCTGAGCCTAGCCACGCATTTACAGCTATTTAGCGCGACAGTTCTAATGATCAAGTGTAGCCCTGTTGGGTCATAAATACCAGCGTCGAGATGCAAGAGGCATTCACTGCCTCGGTTCGTGGAATGAATGAGTCCWTGCTTCGCCTTCATTCCAGCCGGGGCTGTGTGGGTGACAGAGAAACTGAGCTCAGAGCTTCAGCAGTAGAAAAACAAACACCTACAGGTTTGCTGCTCTGACACCAGGACCTTTGTGTTCAGACCTGAAGGCCGGAGGGCTCGGAAATATTAACGGGCTACTCTATCAGGTGGGCAGAGAATAGCTGAAGATCTGGATGCAGCCTCTGATTTGTAATGCCATGTTAATCACTGAAATCTTTGTGCATTATTAATAAGACATGAAGCTACCCCTTTGTTGTTGTAGTTTAGATGAACTACTTACCGTCCAGTTGCACTGTTTTGCTTAAAGTAGRCATGCTTTTAAATCTGAATTCATCCTTATTGTAACTCCACAAGCCCCTCTTTCACCCCTTTTTCTGAGATGTGTCTCAGWTAAACTCGTAACTAAACTAAATTMAAATTTTCGGCACTCCTAGAGACTCCAAATATGCAACARAATGCATTTATTGGCTAAAATAAAGTGAATTTCCCCTTCAAGGAATATTGCACARATAAAAATTTACATAATAAACAGAAAGTAGTCAGCTAGAAGAGTAAACATTAACAAGTTGTAATTCCTAACCTGGCTCTCCAATCTGGACGTGTTGACAAATTCCAAAAAGTTGTGCTTTTAGCTCTGCAGATTACCAGAATCGGCTGATTTTCATCCCGACTGGTTTGTCCGGTGCACRTTCAGCTCTAGACTGTTTTTATCCACCCCAGTCCATAAAAAGCAAAAATAGTTAGGCAGCAAAAATGCACTAGCATAAGCAGATCTTCACTGAGATACATTCTGAGGAAGCTTCCAGTCATGTATTTGTAACATTGGTAATGAATTCAGAGGAAGCACAAAAGGCATAAAAAAATCGATCAGAGGAAACATTAATTTTCCACAGAGGCGAGTCTGCAGCTCATTTCACTGCTCAGTAGGTGGAAGTTTTCCTTTAAAGTACGAGGTGCCACTTAAACCGATGACACATTCAACCCAGCTTCCTTGTGAGGCATTTGATTTACCAGAAGAGGATAAATAAAAACAAAAATACCATTGTTTAATAGTTATTGTTTCTAAAGCTGTAATTTGTCCCCAACATTTTATGATGAATACTGCTGCAATTAATTATAAAAGACAGACTTGAGAAAAGGTTTGTCCTCTTATCTTGTGTACTTATGTTTAGAGAAGTTTAAAAGCACCAAAAGAAAACAATAAAAGGGAACCCATAAGTATAGAAAAACACTTATTTTACTTACTTTACTTGAACAACCTGTAACATTGAAAAAACAAGTCTCCTTGATGTATAAAAACCTAATGATGGACGTATCAGACCATACTCCACACATTAAACAACAATGGGAAACAAACAAAATGTCTCTTTGGAGAATATTTGTGTTTGATGTCAGAGGGGTGTCGGAAGCCAACTCTGGAAGGAGTTTGATTCGAAATGCAAAATTAGATTCAGCCGAACTCCATTTCAGTTTTCTCTTTCTGAGAGTGACAATAAGGGTGACTGCTGGAGAAAATGTGGTAAGGTGGGCAACCACACCCACACATTTTGAGACTGCCCTCGACTGCAGAACCTCTGTGAAGGTGTCAGGGGTGTGTTGAAAAGATTGTCGCAGTTGTGTAACGAAAATGGCATCACTTTGTTCGCAGCTACGAGTCGTCCACCCCCTTCTTGTCACATGAGAAGTTTTCACCCCCCCTTCAACTGTGTGATTGGTGAGAAGTTTGTGGGCTTTAACTTCTCGCTTCCAGAGTCTGACTGTTGGCRGGTTCGATTAGGAGGAGACCCAAGGGAAGACCCAGAACACATTGGAGAGACCATGTCTCTCGGCTGGCTCGGGAACTCCTTGGAATCCTCCTGGAAGAGCTGGAAGAGGTGGCTGGGCAAAGAGAGGTCTGGGCCTCCCTGCTCAAGCTGCTGCCCCTGTGACCCGACTMAGAATAAGTGGAAGATAATRGATGGATCAGTGGATTATTGGATGAAACCTGACCCACCAATCATCAATCAGTGGATTCCAGAAATAAGGCTCAACTACAACTAAAAACTCAGAATGTACATCAGAGTGCATTCTTATTTTCAGCCAATATTTGATACCCAATAGTAAGATGAATATTTATTAACCTCTTGAGTCCCATGCCCTTGGTACCGGGGCAAAAAGCATTTTCCATTTTCTATTTCTTTGACAGATCTTAAGTTAACAGAAGTTAAAAGAAATAGAAAATGGAAAATGCTGTTTTGCCCCTGGTACATGGGCCTCAAGAGGTTAAACGGATAAAATAACTAGAAATTCTGTCAGCTGTTTGAAAGAAAGACTGTCCACAGTCTTAAACACAATCCATGATGTATTTTCATACGTTGATGACTGATACGATCCGTTTGTGCAAAAATATTCTAAGCAGGTAAACTTCAGATTTAAAAAATGGTTTACAGAAAGAAAAAAAAGATATTCTTGAGTTCAGAGGCACAGAAAAAGTACATTGTTTAAAGCATGACCTCATCTTTCCCCTTTAAGAGCAGCGATACTCATAGCTTTCCCTGAGAGGGGCCATTATCACTCAGAAACACCACAAAGCGTGGTTTTTACACCTGACGAGACGGTGTGGGCCAGAATACAGAMACATTGACAGGTTTCCTCTTAATCACTGTGACATTTAACAGATTCTAAACGCAGCTAATGAATCAGGCTGCAATAGGATGTGAAGATGTCACGACTGACCGAGCGGATCACCAGAAGACTATAAAAGGAGCAAACAGAGTGAAATCTGTTTTCAGAACGTTTCAATTCCGACGTGACATCCCAGGCTCTCTTTGTCAAGTTTTCAAAATGCTGGGCAGAAAAAAGTAAATCATTTAGAAGAATGTATACATTTAAACTTATCAGAAACAATGGTAATTTGTAAATAACTTCACATGAGGGTTTATATTTCAGGCTGAAATCTAAAGTATTTCTGCACAACCAAACAGGGAATATGGYAGTTTGTTCACCACTACAGCTGCTGATTCTTGTTTTTCTATTTCAAACAGAACTTACTAATAATTTAAACAGCAGGAAAAGTGAATAAAATGAATTAGATCCTGAATTTTAACAGTATAACAATAAAACAGCCCTGCTTCTACAATATTATACAAACCTTAACTCTTTTTACTAATGTTTGAAAATTTATACCATTTGACTGAATTATAAATGCCAGTAATTTGCTGATTTTTTTCTGCTCTATTGCTCTGAAGGACATACTGGTCATATTAAATACTATGTTGACAGGCAAATAGGTTTACATGATTTGATGGTGACGTTATCTACAAAGTCCTTGTCTGTTTAAGTTGACTGTGTTCTGAAAGAACAATTGTTGAAGTTAGGTTCTATAAATATGTTAGCAGTTTTATTGACTTGATATAACATCTAAGAGAAAATAACCCTGTCCTGCCTCTGTGTTTCACCATTTGTGCATCTTTTGCRCATGTATTTAAAACTTAGTGACTGACTTTAAGTTTAATGAGCTCACTGTTTTTAAACAGTTTTTACAAAACTGTAGGAGTCCATTAGCCTGTCAAACTATGACAAAATAGGAAAAATGTAATTTAGTTTAAACATAAAAAAACTGAGAAGGAATTAGAGTCGAGGGGGAAAATAACTAGATACATGTTGTGATGGCCCGGACAGTAAAAGCTATCAGAACAGTCGCAGAACTGCCTGAATGGGAGTGTTTAGGCTGCAAAYGCAATAGCTAAAGCTTTTAATGACATTTGGTGATAAATAAGGTTAATCTCATTCCTGTGTGTGTTATGGCGCAAGTGTGATCAAAACATACGTTCTGATTTTTGGCCGACAGTTGTTGAGGAGCCATCTGATGACCACGGGACCGTCCGGACCAGACGTGAATCTAGTCCATGGCTTCAGTGGCAGAGCGGGGGAGGAAGACTCCGGGGAAGCACAGAATCCTGAGACACACACACACACACACACACACAAATAAATAAATAAATAAATAAATAAATAAATAAATAAATAAATAAATAAATAATCTGACAACAGAGGTAACAAACTTTGGCTAAACCCTACAGAAGCACTTTTGTTTTAATTTTATCAGTAACCAATCAGTTAGTTTAGTGCAAAAACCCCTTTCTGTAAAATATCTTTATTGGTCATAATATGCTTATTATTATAGCATTCCTTCCTGCTATGACTCTAATACTACCACACCAAACTGTAGCTCAGTATCTGTAAAATGACTCAGTTTATCCACACAGCTCAGACACTTCGACATGAACAGGCAGCTCATGTGTTGCCATTTTTTTTTACCAAGTTCTGTCAGCAGTACACCGAATATTTACACTCTCTTTAATTTTTGAAGCATTTGCAAATCGCTCTTTATTACAGAAACCTCATTTTAAAGTGTCAAAAAAAAGAAGAAAGAAAATAACAAGTACATAAGTAAGTACACGCTGCACCGCTTCACACCTGAGATTAAAACACTCGTGTGTAAAAGTTTGTCCTATTTTCACATCRGAGAGGAGCAGGCTTGTTGTTCTCAGCTTGTGGTCTCAGCACTTAGACCAGAGGTTAAACGTGTGGTCTCACAGCAACTGCTTTTTATCGTCTCGTGATATAATTTTTTTTAATCTTTCACTTTCATCTCCACAGAGCAAAGACAAAGTTTCTTACTAAAAGTTTTTAGTCACACATATTCACTGTATTGTTTACGTCCTGGCCCCCCATGGCCTGTGAGAATTCTGCCTGTTGTTCCTTCATATGAGGCCCACTTGTGTACAGTAAAACAAATCAGAAAGATACTGTATGGAGGATAATCCACCGAGTTAAACAGGAAAGCAAATGCTCTGCTTGATGAAACCTGAAATCCTTAAAGTGTCAAGTCATTGGATAAYGCAGGCTTGTCGTTTGACACATGAATGAATCACCTTTATAATAGAAAGGAGCCCAAACGCAGCTTGAAATCTATAAGAGCCATTAACTCAAAGCACTCTAAACTCCTATCAATAAACCACCTGCAGGGCTGCTGAATCGACCCCGCTGAGAGCTSCACGCCATTTCTGATCATTTTTTTAAGAATCAAAGATGCTTTTTTTATTCAATGCCATTTAAAATCATGTGCTCTTCAACACAGCAAAATAAACCTGCCCCTGAAATGTTCAGTTCAAGTCTGGCAGACGTTTAAATCTCATTATAGCRCATTTCTCGGAAAAAGAAACATCACTTAAAAAGGCATCAAGGGTTAATAAAAGCCACTTCTTCCTGTCTTCCATTTAACAGAGTAAAGCCTCACTATGTTSAGTTCCCACTGATCCAGCAGGATGATTAAAAAGCAAGAATCGACTGAACAGATCAAAAGGAAAAAACGAGGYGCAAGCTCGACAGAACAACACCAGCAACCACAGGAAACAAACTCCAACACAATCGTTCCTTCCCGACAGACGCAAATGCATTGATCATTCATACGCTTCYACTAAAATGTGCAAATGAGCTGCGGGCTTCTTTTTTATTTCCATGATGCACGTGTTTTATACGTCTGAGAGGCAAATGTTACAGAAACAGGTTTGAGTTATAGCTGAGAGAATCGTCTCCATAGTGAGCGGTGATCGCCCACGTGTGAGGCTGATACCCAGTAGGTGGGAGGTGAACGTACTGTACACTGAGACTCCAAGCTTTGCACTCTGTTGTCCATCAATGCATAACATCCAGGCTACAAGCAGGAAATTTTAAAAAAACTTTAACATAATGAACACTTATGGGTGAAAACACACTGTGTAAATCACGTTAAAGTGTTAAATAAAAAAAAGACTTGTGTGAAATAATTTGTAATAAAAACAGGATTTCACATGTGGGAATAAAAATCACATTCGTACCTGTGAAAACATGTTAAATGAGATGTGTTTTGAGCATTCTTTCCCAGTCATTTTAGAATGTCTTCAACTGCAAATAGTTTATTTATCTTTTATTTTTTTGGGAAGAAAAATGTAAAAAAGCCACAAGCTGAAATAAAAGGAAAGATATCGATGAACCAATGWGACCAAAGCCTCCAAAAAGGAGTTGCAGAGACACAACAAAGACAAACTGTGAAACTGTTTGTGTGTTTGTGACTTCTCAAAGYCAGAGGAGCATTAACAACATTGTTTATACTGTATCATCTATTCTCATACAAAACGTGCCTTTACCAACAATCATTCAAAAATGTAAGTACTTCAAAGATTAATGTTCCTAAAGCACCCACAAGTCCTTGCACAAGTCCACGATGAAACAATAATTAATTAAATTTAGGTTTTTGCTGTGTTTGTCATAATTAAAAACTTCTAAGCAACATTATGCGTTTCAGAATCCAAAAAACGAWGTTTGTTCACAAAGGACGTGATTCTGAAGAACCAATTCCACTATAAAAAATGTCCTATTTTAAWAATTTGAGAGGCTCTAGTCCTCTGAACATCCTTTAAGTTCATAACTGTATGATCAGCTGACATAGCTGCTAAAAACAACTAATTATTCATATTTTCATCCACCACAAAGTGATTTATCCCCTCTAGTTTTAGCTCCTTGAAGGCCTTTAGCTTTACAAAATTTAGGTGGGGTTGGGAACATATAAAATGATTCTGACAAAGTAAAAAAAAATTATAGTTTTTTTATTTTTTTTATTTTTAGGATTTGTCAGGAATGGTTGTGATTTTTGACACAAAAATAAATGTGTGGCTGATTTTCCCTCACAACATATTCTTAGCGTTAACTCACTTCCACCTTGAGGAAAGATCATAAAAACATTATGAACATTTAAAACATTCCAAAAAAAGAAATATAATAAACCTAAAAGTCACAGATGTTGCTGTGATGWCATGCATGACTGAACTCCAAGTATATCCTTTCAACCCTCACCGGCTGCGACACCAACTTGACAAAGTGTAAATTTGTTTAATCTGATGGTGTTGGACGAAAGCTYTTCCTAAGGACTGGATGTCACCTGGTGACAAGCTGCTAGTGGCAGAACATCTGGTCTCAACCTTTAGGGAAACACAAAGAAAGGAAAGAGGTGCAGGACTTTTTTTCTTTGTATCTGTAAAACAAACTATCTGGAAATAATCATTTGGACCATTATCATAAGACAGTCTAGTAAAAATAAAAGGTCTATAATTTCTTAAAGGAAACCCTATTAACTTTTATTTTAGGTGTTTTTGTGTCAAACCTGGGGTTGGGCGATGTTGACAAAAAAATGAATCACGGTTAATTGTGGTATAGCCGATAACAATTAATATGATGATAACCGGTAATCCCCTAGAGTCCCGCCTGCATGTCATAGACATATGACCGTAGTGGAAAAGATTTGCTCTCTGTTAAAATCTGTTTAAATGTGTCAAAAATACAGACTTCAGGCTATACTTCTATTTTTAAATTTGTTGATTGACCAAAACCGGAGTTATGATAAACAAATTACAGAACTTTTTTTTAAATGTTTGACATATTTAAAGTGGAGAGGAGCATTGAGCGGACTGACCGGGAAATCTCCAGTCAGTCTGCCTGGCGGCATTAATCCTATTAATTGTCCAGTGAAGGAATTGTCAATTAATTGTCAAGTGCCAAAAAAAAATTGATTAAAGTTTTTTTGATGATTACACAGGATATGATTTTTCCCAATCCCTAGTCAAATCTTGAAAATATTAAGCATCCTAAGATTCTGCTCGAGTTCTTGTTAAATCCCAACTTTCAAATTAAAACATTAACCAAATTTTGCAACATTACTCTCAACGTCACTTTACAAAGAGTGGAAGAGCAGACAAGAATAACCCAATAGGCCCAATTACTTTATAATTACAAACAAATAAATATAGTTTAGCTTGGATTGGCATCTTGACCTCCGTGATGAGGGCGTTGCTGTGGTCGGTCATGGTGAAGAAAGAGCTGAAAGGCAAACCTCTCGATTTTCTGCAACATCTGCACTTTAAACCTTCATCTTTGGGCATGAGGTTTGGATCATGACCAAAAGAACAAGATCCTGAACACAACCAGCTGAAACTGGCTTTCTTTGTATGAAGGACAAGATCAACCTTGGAGATAAGTCGTGGAGATCAGTCATCTGGAGGGAGATCAGATTAGAGCTGCTGCTYCTTCACATCGAAAATGTGTCAGTTGAGGTGGTTCAAGAATCTGATTAGGACGCTCACCTTTGGAGGTTTTCCAGGTAATTKTCAGAGGAATTGTGTATCTTCTCTGGTCTTGAACACCTTGGGGTCCCCCTGGAGGAGCAGGAGAATGGCTCTGGGGAGAGGGTCTCTCTCCTGGACCTGTTGCCTTTGTGACCTAACCACGAATAAGTGGTAGGTGGAGATGGAGACAGAGTTTGATTTTCCACTTGTGTGTATCAATGTGGAACTGATACGGAAAGATGACAACTTTTTCCTTCATTTTTTTGTCTCAAAGGGAAACACTTCTGAGCTACATGACACCAACTCGTGCCGAACTACTACGGAGAACTGATAKTATGTCTGTTGCTCAGTGGGACGTGATTATGATGTAAAAAAAATAAAAGAAGATTAACAATTTAATCCTTGAATATGATCTAAAACTTTGATTTCATCCTGTTAGTAGAAAACTTCATCAGCTCATATTGTTTCAGTGTAACATGAAGCTCCAGTCTGAGCTGCCAGCAGAACCAATACATCCTGAAATCTGAGTCTGGTTTACAAAATAGTGTGGGGGAGGACTAATTCAGCAAAGTRCAGACATAAAATGTAGCCTCACTGGTAAAACACAGACCTCAAAGAGTTGGGTCTTTCTCTGTTAGTCTGAATATTTTTGGCTTTTTTGGAGGCAAATAAGGGATTTAAATTTGTTCTGGCTCAGTCAAATTAATCATCCAGGCCGATGGTGGCTTCATCAKCAGAATGTGAGCTGAACTTCAGCTACCAGGTCAAACCACCCAGAAGCTCCACAAACTGCTGTG